ATCATCATCATCATCATCATCATCATCATTATCATCATCAGCATCATCATCATCACCATCATCAGCATCATCCTTATCGCCATCGTCATCCTCATTATCGGTATCATCTTCATCCTCGTCACCATCAACATCCGCATCATCATCAGCATCATCATCAGCATCGTCGTCGTCGTCGTCACCATCATAATCATCATACTCGTCGTCGCCATCATTATCACCATCACCACCACCATCATCAGCGTCATCATAATCATCCGCATCATCCCCCTCAGCAGCATCATCGTCAACAAGATCACCACCAGCATGTACGATCATCAGCATAGTCATCGTCTTCCTTATCATCCTAATCGTCATCATCCCAATCATCATTAGCATCATCATCAGCATCAGCAGCACCATCATCATCATTGCAACCCCCATTTTTCTCATCATCCTTATTTGCATCTTACTCATCATCATCAGCAGCATCATCATCATAAGCATCAGCATCAAGCGTCATCATCATCAGCATCACCATCAGCATCCGCATCAGCATCAGCATGCTCATCCTCCGCCTCCTCCTTCGCGTCCCCCTTCTCCTCCTGAGTCTCCCTAACCATGCTCCTCCTCCTCCTCCCTTTCCTCCTCCGTCTCCTTCTCCCCCTTCTCCTGCTTACCCCTCCTCAACCGCCTCCTTCTCCTCCTCATCCCCCGCTTCCACCTTCTCCTCCTCATCCTCATCCTCCTCCTTCTCATCATCATCACTAACATTAGCACCAGCATCATCATCATCATCAGCATCATCATCATCATCATCATCATCATCATCATCAACATCATCAGCATCATCATCAGCAGCAGCATCATCATCCGCAGCATCTTCGGCATCATCATTATCATCATCAGCAGCATCATCAGCATCAGCATCATCACCATCATCATCGTCGTCATCATCGTCATCATCCGCAGCATCATCGTCATCCTCATCATCAGCAGCATCATCAGCATAGTCATCATCAGCAGCATCATCATCTGCAGCATCATCGTCATCAATATTAGCATCACCAGCATCATCAGCATCATCACCATCATCATCATACTCATCATCATCAGCATCATCATCAGTATCATCACCATCACCATCAACAGCATGAACATCACGCCGTCATCATCGTCATCAGCTTCGTCGTCGTCGCCGCCATCATCATCATCATCATCATCAGCAGCATTAGCATCACCATCATCGTCATCATCATCATCAGCATCTCCATCATTTCCATCATCGTCATCTTCATCAGCATACGCATCGAAATCATCCTGAATATCATCATTATCATCATCATCAGCATCATCATCATCATTGTCACCATCGTCATTATCATCAGCATCATCAACATCATCAGCAGCATATTAGAGAACCGTATCATCATCAGCGTCAGCATACGCATGATCACCAACATCATCATAACCACCATCATCCGCAGCATTCACCGTGTATGCATAATGATAACCACCAACACTTGCATCATCACCACCATCATTAGCATCATCATCGGCAACGCCGTCATCGTCATCCTCGCAATCTGGACTTCCGCGTACCGCTCCGACCCCCCTGGACTCCTCTGGCCAACACTCAGAAAATGCGAAATTGTCTTATGCACGCCCCTGCGCCGCGGACGGGCCCCGCTCGAGGGGGCCCATTCGGGCCCGCAGGCCTGGTCCTGTGATGGGAGGGGGGGGGGGGAGGCGCCGTACATCGAGCCCCGCCCCGAACGCCCCCTTTCCCGAGATCGAGATATCGAGACATCGAGATATTGAGTCACCGCACCCGTTATCGAGACATCGAGATATCGAGAAATCGAGTCCTCGCCTAGCCCCGCCCCCGATATCGAGATATCGAGATATCGAGTCCCCGCCCTCGATATCGAGATATCGAGAAATCGAGTCCCCTCCCCCCGAAATCGAGATATCGAGTCCCCGCCCCCGATATCGAGATATCGAGATACCGAGTCCCCGCCCTTGATATCGGGATATCGTGATTTCGAGATATCGAGTCATCCCGACCCCCACCGGGACGCCTTGCGACCACAATGGAAGTTGCAATGTTCGAATAAGCGGGCTCAGGATGACCGAATTCCGCTGGCGAGGTTTCGGCCATTTCGGACGGGGCTAGGAGGAGGATCAATCCTTTCCAGAGCGTTCCAGAACGCTCTGAGAAGGACCCGGGGCCCGAGACATCCTCCAGAGCCGCAGGACCTCAGAGATGCTGGATTTATGATTTATCCTCACCCGATGTTATCCTCGTCCTGGCTTCGTCATATGTGGCATACCGTCCGGACGTGAGACGGGGGAATCCACCCTGCGCCGAGCGATTCGGCTGCGAATCATCTGCAGCTCTCCTGCCCTCCGTCTTTCTGACGGTCGCCCCAGCCCTCAGGACGGGTTTAGGGTTCAGGCACCCCGTCTGGCCTACAGCTTGTTGGCAATCCTCATCCTGCTCTTCTTACTATTATCATCCTCTTCTTTCTTCTTCTTCTCCTCCTCCTCCTCCTTGTCCTCCTCCTCCTCTTCCTCTCCTCATCCTTCTGAAAGCGGCCTTCCCCAGCATTAACCACATCTACATATGGTCTATATTACGTGCATCTGGTATTCCTGAATTTATTGTGCTTAGCATTATGGCCTTATATGGTAATAGTCGTATGGTTGTTCAATTAAATAACTCGGAGCCCTGCTATATCCAGCTGTGTCGTGGTATCAAACAAGGTTGCCCCCTAAGTGGTCTCCTCTTTAGCCTCTGCTTCGACCCAGTCGGTCGACGATTGCAGCATGTCTCTTTGTGTGCGGCTGTCACTTTTAACGTGTTCGCGGACGACATGGCCGCGTCAGCCACCGATCTTGTTGCGGTGCTCCCGAGGGTGTGCAAGATCATTGTGCTGAGTGGGTGCGCCACTGGTCTGATGTTGAATTTGAAGAAGTGCCAGCTAGTTTTTCCTGATGAGGAAACATGTACCCAGGCCACCCATCTCTGCAGGGAAGCAGGTATCAGGATTCGGCAATTTGTTGTCTCGAGGTGCGGGTGGTATCTTGGAGTGGGGGTGGGGATCGAGGCGTCTGAAAAGTCTTGGGCCCCTGTACTCGCCAAGTTGAAGGAAAGGTGTTTGAGGATCAAGTCTATGGGCTTGGGGTTATCGTCTAGCATTGGGGCCTATAATGTATATGGTCTACCTGTAGTTTCTCATGTATCGCAAGTTCATGTTCCTCCTCCGCGTGCTTTGAAGGTGGAAAAAGACGGGCTCCAGCTTCTCACATGCTCCCCGAGACACAGCTTCCCGCCCATGTCCCTCTTCAATTTGCGTTGGCTCGGCCACCAGGTGGAAGCTCGTCGTCTTGAGACGTATGCCCGAGCTTGTATGATCCGTGCAGCCACGAGAGGTACGTGTTTTTTATTGTACTCAAGGCTCCTTGACCTCTGGGCAGAGTCTGATGAGATCTGTGTGGCCTGGAGGTATAAGATTATGACTCGGCACTCGATCTTCATGCAGATGAAGACGGCGTATGAAGAGTTCTATAGGATACATCCCCAGCCAGGGGATATACCAGCCAATAAAGTCCAAGCGTATATCCAGAAGCAGTTGAATGTTTCCAGTAGTATGCCGTGTATTCCCTCCATCCTCTACCCTCGTATTGCCAAATGGTTCCCCAGATGTCCCATGGAATTTGCTGATCGGGCCGTTATCCGACTTCATATTCTAGGTTCCAAGCTCCCTGGGTTCGTCGCTACCGCCGTCCTGAAAAGCCTCTTCAATTCTTGGAATACGACCAGACGCTATCGTTGTGGAGCTGTTGGGTGTCGGTTCGGTTGCCAAGCAGTAGGAGGGGATGATATATTACACTATATGGTTTGCCCTATTGCTATCGGTGCCGTTCGTAACAGCTATCGACTTCTTCCTGACGACTATGGAGTTGACCCATATTCTTCCTTCTCCCTGCTGATAATGAATATTTTCTGTCAGCCTGCCTGGCCCTTGACTGTCTGCACTCTGCTTTCCAATCTCTTAGGTCCTCTTGCTCCGCCCCTTCCCCCGCGCGTACAATAGGCCTGATCCGAGCTCGTGTTCGCACCCAGGTCCGTCGGTCGAAGGTCGCCGAGACCCTGGCTAGGGCGGGCCCTGGTCGGCAGCGGCCATGATGTGCGTGGCCCCCCCAGGCGCGCCCGCGGCGTGCTTCTCTCTGGGCAGTGGTGGACGGGACCTCCCTCTCCCCCCCTCTGAACGCGGGTCGCTCTTCCTCTCCTCATCCTTCTCCTCCTCCTCCTGCATCTCCTCCTCCTCCTCCTCCTCCTCACCCTCCTCCCTCGTCACCTTCCTCCTCCTCCTCCTCCTCCTCCTCACCCTCACCCTCCTCCCTCTTCACCTTCCTCCTCCATCCGCCGGAGGTTTCCGAGGTCCATGCAGAATTCTGCGGCGCCCCCCCCCAGACCCCAGAGGACCCCCGCAGGCCCCTCTGGAGGCTTCTGGAGGCCGAGCGAGACCAGGCGAGAATCGACAGGGCTCGACCTTCACGATGTTTTAGCGATCTCGTGGACCGCTATCGTTTTCAAGGACGGAGCGAAGACAGCCAAAGGGGAAAACGAAAACAAACGAACACGGAAAACACCACTCGGGTCGAGCCCTGAGAACCGAAGCGTCCGAAGGCAGCCCCGATCGCCCTCCCGCCGCGGGCGCCGCGGCCGCGGCGCCTACGACTTGGCATCGCTCGGACGTGTGCATGTTTCCTTCGGCGAGGACCATCGAGGAGCATCCTCGATCATTTGGCGAAAGAACCACGCACGAAACCGAACAAAAAACAGGAAATGGACGTCCGAGCGGTGGCCAGACGACGCCTCCGCGCTGCCTCGCCCATCGCGGCCTGGGAGCCTCCGCGGCGCCCCGACGCGGCCTCGGCGCGGCAGCGGCGCACGCCGCGCGCGGCCTCGGCGCTCGCGGCGCCCCCCGCGCGACGCCCGACGGCGCGCCGCCGAGGTGTGCCTCGGCGCGCTCGCGCTGGCGGCGGGCACCCTCGGGCGCGAGGGCTCCGCGCTGCGCGCCGGCGGCCTCTACCTCGCGGGCGCCGCCCTGGCCGCGGAGGCCCTCGGCGGCGTCGCCCTCGCCACCGTCGTGGCCGCCGCCGTCGCCGCCGCCGCCGTCCTCGCCGTCGCCGCCGCTGCCGCCGCTGCCGCCGCCGCTGCCGTCGCCGCCGCCTCCCTCGCCGTCGTCGTCGTGGTCGCCGCCCTCGCCGCCCTCGCCGCCCTCGCCGCCGTCGCCGCCGTCGTCGCCGGCGTGGGCGCCGCCCTGGCACCGGAGGCCTTGGCGACGGTGCTGCTCACCTGCTCGGTGTACGGCTACGAGCCGTCGGAGACCACCACCTCGCGGTGGGCTCTTTGAGGGGACGTCTTCTCGAGGGTCGAGGATCGAGGTTTGGGGACGTCTTGTTTCAACTACGCTTGCCCAACTTGAGGGTTCGTCGTGCCCGCTCCATCGTTACAGGTGCCTGGGGCCAGTGTCCTTCCTGCCCTCACGAGCGTGCTGGTTCGCTCTTGGTGCACTTGTCGTCGATTGTGGCATTGAGATTTCTAGACGCCTCCAGACGCTTCCGGAGCCATCCGGAGACCTCCAGATCTGGAGACACCAAAGGCTAGATGCATGGATACAGACTACAGAATTCAGCAATTTAGTGTCCAGGTTTTTGTGTTGGAGCCCTCCCGCCGTAGTTCCTCCTCCCCTCCACCCTCTCCTGCTCCTCCGCATGAGATCCTCCACTCCTCCCCCTTCTTAATCCTCCTCCTCCTCCTCCTCCTCCTCCTCCTCCTCCTCCTCCTCCTCCTCCTCCTCCTCCTATCTTCCCTCTTCACCTTCGTCACCCTCCTCCTCTTCCATCTTCGCCCTCCTCGTTGTCGTCGTCGTTGCCCGTCTCCTCCGAGGTGGCGCGCCGTGGTCACCGCCGCGTTCACAGCGGGCGCGCTCGTGTGGGCCACGCTCCTGCGCCAGGCGACGGGAGAAGGGCCCCCTTCTCCCTCCTCCTCCTCCTCCTCCTCATCCTGCTCCTCCTCCTCCTCCTCCTCCTCCTCCTCCTCCTCCTCCTCCTCCTCCTCCTCCTCCTCTCCTCCTCCTCCTCCTCCTCCTCCTCCTCCTCCTCCTCTCCTCCCCCCCTACCTTGTTTGTCCTCGTCTCCTCCACCTTCTCGCTTTCCCTCGTGGCTTCCTCCCCGCCTGTCCTCTCACACTTCTGGGGCTCGGTCCAGCACCCGATAGCGAACTCGAGTGCCCCCGCCAGCGCTGCCACCACATCGCAGCGCCGAGCTTCCATATTCACCACAAGCCGAAAGCTGACCTTGCGGGCAGGCCACGAGCGGCCACGCCCACCTACCATCACGAAATACGAGCCGCAGCCCTCGTCGCGATGCGATGCTACGGCCCTGGCGGTAGCTGAGTCACCGTGGATTCTAGCTACGTGCGCTCCTCCTCCTCCTCCTCCTCCTCCTCCTCCTCCTCCCTCCGCCCTCCTCCCTTTTCCTTCCTCTTCCTCCTCCACTTCCTCCTCCTGCTCGTCCGCCCCCCTTCTCTTCACACCTCCCTCCTCTCTGCTTCCTCCCTCGCTCTTTCCTCGTCCTCCCTTCTCCTCCCTTCTCCTCCCTTCTCCTCTCTTCTCCTTCCTTCTCCTCACTCCGCTCTCCTGCTTCCTCGTTCCTCCTCTTTATCCTCCCTGCTCCTCCTCCTCCTCCTCCTCATTATTCTCCTTCTCCTCCCTGCTTCTCCTCCCTCATCATCATCCCTCCTTCAATGCAACGTTCACTCAGTATGGGTTTGGCCCGCCCCTCTTCGGCATATGTCTTACACACCGGGTTTCAAACAGTTCTTTGTCACACGGTCGTTCTACAATCCGACCGTTGCTGGTCTCTCAAACGGTAATAACGCTGCAGCGCGGGCCTCATTTTAGGATCCGCGCTTTGCTCCCGTCGTTCAGAATGGCACTCGCGCCCCAGCTCGGGCCGCTTTTCTGAATCCGAGTCCTTCCTCACCGTTGTCGCCCCCCTCCTTTCTCCTCCTCCGCTCTCCAGGTCCGCTATGGCACGCGTGCGCGGATAGATAAATCATCAACGCAACGGGGAGAGATGGGTGGGAAAGGTAGGGTGTCAGGTATGGCGCGAGTGCAGCTACCTTATCCTCCTCCCTTCTCCTTCCTCCTCCTCGTCCTCCTCCTCCTCCTCGCCCCTAGTCCGTCTTCATCATCCTCCTTCCTCATCCTTTCTCTGACCAGATGGGGGGCGGGGAGGACAAAGGAATGGGGGAGGATGAGGAGGGAGAA